TTATAAAATAGCCCTACAGGGGTGTTTTGGTGCCACCACTGACATCTCATCAACAAACAGCATGTGCCCCAATCACTCACACCTTCTGGAATGGAGCTGGGTGGAAGGAAAAGTGGAGAAAGTAAAAGTGAGCATATGCTGACATGTATGTCTTTTTAATACTCGCTCACACTGAAACTGGGAATTTTTGGAGACTTAAATCAACTTCAGTGTTCAGGTTGGAGATAGCCCCCAACCCGCCCCCCACCCCCAACCTGCTGCAATGTGCACATATATACAAAATGTATGTTCAGGATGTTGTATTTCGTGAAAAAAAAAAAACAAAAAAAAAAACAGCTGATAGAGGACTTGGAAATAGCCCATTCTGTTGTTTAATATCAGATTATAATACCAGAAATTACAACAGACTAAGTAGCTGCAGAGACAAAAGTCCACCTGCACAATCAACTCCTAATAAGGGGGTTTACCCCATTTCCTCCCACTTGGCCTTAATGGAGCAAAATATTTTTTCTTGGCATTATATGCACAAGACAGAGTGAAAAATATCTCTTAAAGGTAATACAGCTGTGGGAAAAAGGAACTTATGGTCACCTCTAAAGGCCAATGGTGAAGGAAAGAGGAGAAATGTGATATACGAAATTGAGAATGAAATCCACATGGCTGAACCTCAAAGGCTTCATGGGCCCTCAAATCAAGTATTAGTATAGTGGAGGGGAGGAAATGACGTAGAGTCATTCTGATTCGCTGAAATTACATCTGGTCTACATTGCTTTCTTTGATTAGTTGAATATTCAATTAATTGTACAATGATGTGATGTTCTTTTTGGGGTGCTAACATATCCTGCAAGAAGTTCTTATTACCATTCTTTAGTCCCTGGCAGTTAGCACATTGTTACGGGAAACCTGGCTTCATCCTAACATCTGCTCACTGGACCCTTTAGAGCCTCTTGCTTTCATCTCCTCCCTGGATATGTGCATTTATTACCACACTTTCTTCCCATGCCAGCAGGTTGTCTGTCTTGCACAGACATTCTTTTCTGCAAATTTTTTCAGTACCAGAGGAAATATTGCTACAGCAATGAGGTCAGTGGATGCTGTCCTGCATGTAAACATTTATGCATAGAAAAAACATCACTTAAAATTTTAAGCCATCTTTACTCAATAATAAACACTGAATCGGTGGCCCAACCACAGTCATTGACATTTTACAACCTACCAATTCTTGTGCATTTGCTATGCATAACTTTTAATTCAAGCTTTCTCATTTTTTACTAGGGTTTAACTGCATGTATGATGAACAATAATTTTTTACCTGATTGAAGGGTCTGCTAACCCAGCTTCATAAAGTCACCCAACATTGTTCACATAAAATGTTTTCAGTTCTAACTGAAAGCTGGTTAGTGTTAACAAAATATCTAGTGCTATGAATTATCACAAGCTGTGTTTTGGGGAGAACAACTATCAATTTCCCTTCATTTTTATTGCCTGAATGAATATTTAAATTTTCTGAGTCAATATTTCACAAAGAAATAGCAAATGTTCATCAATTAATTAGGTATAGTTGCTGGGTACTTCACTGGGCTTCTTTCTATATAGGTAATTTATTTCTGTATATCAGTCCCACAATTTTTATTTGAAGACTATTCAAAGATACATATATCTATATATGTATATACACACATATATACATACATGCACATACATGTGTATATAAACATGTGTGCGCAGACACAGACACATATACATATGGTGATTGTGAGAGATGGTGGTGTCAGGTGAGAGAAAGGCACAAATTCTGAGGTAACCCACATGGCGCCACAGACCTCTCCTGACCTGCCCGCTGCTCCCCTCAGTAGTCTCCCTTCAGTAATGTACTTCGTTGACCTGCCTGTTCTGCTCCCCACTCTGTCTCTGGTGAATCCTCTCACTACCCCTGCACTGCTGGCATGTACCCCAGTTCTGTATGCATAAATAAACAAATCTTTAAAAAAAAAAAGAAAAAGATGGGTTTTCTGACATCCTCTTATTTCATATTTTCCCTCTTCTACAACTGACTCTCAAAGTGGTCTTAAGTAGAGTTGATAATTTTTTCCTTTAAACTATAAATATATCTTACAAGTATCACCCACATTTTATTACTTATTTTATGTTGTATTTCATATAACATTATATATACATGTGACATACACACACACACATGTGCGATAATGAACTCCTTGAGAACAGAAACTATGTTTTATTTATCTTTCTAATCTAGAGCTTTTCACAGTGCCAGAGTCTGTAAATAAATATTGTTGAATAAATGAAAGCTGAATTTCCTCAAGGCTAGTCATAAAAGTCCTTTTTGTTTTTAATGGATTATGTCTCTGAAGATAAAAGTAGCTTAAACTTACTAACCAAATAATGTGCTATGAATTATGTAGGAACAAGTTATCATTACTCCAATATTCCAGAAAGGAAAAGTGAAGAAAAGAATATGTGTTATGCACTGAGTGTTCTACATTCAGCTATTGAGAATAAGTTGTAGAAACTGGATCGCATAACTGATAATGTTATATGCTATCCGTGAGCTTATGTTGCTCACTTGAGCATCTTATAATCTCTAGATGTAATAAAATTTCTTTAGTACATTATGTCTCGTCCTGAGAAGGAATATCAATTTTGTGTAGTCAAGAAGGAATCTGATTTGTCCCTTTCCTTTTAGGTAATGGCCATCAGTGTTATTATCCCTCAGCTTTCCAGGTTTGACAGAGGACAACATGCTTTAGTGATTGTGAGAAACCAGGAAGGATGCCCCAGCTTTTAGACAAATGGCTGTATTCTTTGTGCTCCATTTCCCTCTCTGTGAAAAAGAAAAGCATAATATTTAACAACACCACCAAGCTATTGTGTGGGTTAATTAGATTTAATGGGGGAAGGGAGGTGAGATGATTAGACACTATTCAAATTCAAAGAATCTTTATTTTGTATCTAAAAATAATCCCAGCTTAGTAATAAAATTAATTTAGAACCTCAATCGTGGGTAATCATCTTCTCATATTTAAATAAAAAGCCATACTTTTTAATCAAAATCTAAGTTAAATAAAATTTAGTGATTTAAAAATGGATATGTGAATGTCTATTCATCTTTGAAGTAATATAGAACACAATTGAATTTTTTTAGGATAAATTATACATAGAAAGGTAAATTCTGCAACAGAATGGAGTAAACAAATACAGATTTCAAGTCTATTTTTGTTTCACAGGAAACACTTATGAAACACTCTGAATTGTCTCTTTAAACAATCAATATTCAATAGTTGAAATAACTCTTCAAGTCATTTCTAGTTAGCTCCATGCAGAGTTTGTTCAAATATTATTAAGTGAGGAAAGATCTTCATATTCCTCAAATTAAAAAAAATACCTATTTAATGCCACCGTTAGGAATAAATCATCTAGGTAGTAAAGATCAACATTAATATAGTAGATTAATTAAGAAAATTTCATTAGAAGTGGAAGTTGGTGCCTGAGAAAACTGAGTTGTCACCTAAACCTCACGAAAACCTTATAGTAACTTTTGTAAAAGGGAAAACAGTCTTTAAAATATAATAAACCTTAGGAATATGGCATAATTGTTGGGGAATAATGTACTCAGATTTTGATGGGTAAAGAATTTTGACTGTAAAGATATTATTGTTTATTTAGATTTTCCAGAGGAAAGGGAAACTATGTAGTTTTAACTTAGCAGAAGTAGATTCTCTAAAGAGAAGCAGGGACAGTGCTTTTTCATGTAAACACAGCCTGTTTAAAGTTATAAGCCATAAGCTCTACAAATTGTCATGAATTGGACTGTTTACTCACCATGCAAACTTCTGGTTATTCATTCGATTTCCCCGGACCCTTGATACTGGAGATGGATGTACCCTGTAGACAGATGAGAACGACCCATCATTAAAATAAGATATTCCTGATGTCAAATGAACAAATAAAGGGGTTCTGGTTTATAAATTATCTCTTTTAGATTTTCTGCAATCACCCAGTACTTCATCACCAATTAATAAATGAATGCAATTAAATTCTTATGCTTGCAAACCTGCAGTCTCTCTTCCTTTCTTTACAATGTTTGCTTGTCACAATGTTCACTGTGAAGACCCCTAAAATTGGGAACACCAGTTTTAATTGATTGAATGACTTCTCAGCCAACAAAAATTCATTGGATATCCAATACCTACCACGTCTGGCAGCAGGTAATGTTAGTGTAATGTTAGGATGGGCCTGACTCGGTGACTATTTTTTTGATGGTTGTTCCTACAAAGTGGTCAGAGAGAAACAGCTGAAGTACACACTCTCTCAGTCAAGTTCTAGACTATAACACTAAAAAAGCAAGATAACAAAGGGGCTCAGAATAAGCCACCCCAAAATATGCTCCTCTGGTGTAAGCATTAACTTACGCTAAAGGCAACCGAGTAACAGCAGACTCAGGAAGAACATGTTATAAGACCAGGACAAAGATTTTCCTTTTGTAAAGGAAATTTCCACTTGCAAATACTTCTTCCTCTTTCACATGAGGAAGAGAAGTACAACACACGATATCAGAGGTGGCACCAAGGTGAGCATGCATGAGCCAGCCTTATTCCCATATATTTCCTAGTCATCTTCTTGGAATTAACACCCTTAAAAGTTCCCCCCCACCCCCCCTTTTACTATGACCAGTCACTTCTCTAAAGTTTATTACCCTGTTTTTAACAGGTGTATAAGCTCCAAATTCTACCCACTTTTGAGTTACTTTCAGTGAGAAGTCCTGTATGTGTGCATGCTGTGTGCATATGCTTTTTAAATTTTTGCTAATCTGTTCATTATCAGCTTAATTTGCAGGACCTCCAGACACTGAATCTGAGAGGGTAGAGACGTTATTTGTTCTTCCCCCACACCCCCAAATAATTTCATCTAAATGTCTAGGAATGGGATATGTGGAAATGAGGAAGGAAGGAGGGGTAAACAGGTATTTCCAGAGATGTATGTGGTGCTCCTCTGAAGGTGATGCTCCTCTGAAGGTGACGCTCCTCCCAGAGGTGATGTTCCTCCCAGAGGTGATAGTCTAGAGCTGGGCAAAAGTCAATTCAAATCCTTAACCAAATAATGGAGAAATGAAATCTATTGTTTTAGAAGTTCTCAGACTAGAGACATACCCTGGAAATTGTTTCAGTTTCCAGGAACAGCTGACATCTTCCAATCTGGAGCCAACTGCTGAACCTACCCCCCTTTCTGGGTGTCTAACTAGCCACACAATTGCCTTATTTCCTGCTTCCTCTGGCTGACTTCCTGCTTTGTTCTTTCTTTGCTAGGATTGAGATCTAGGCCTCTTCGAGTTGGTGTCACCTTTTTTCTTTATATCTTCGTCATTACTCTTGTTCACATGGTAAAAAAAGAAAGAAAATATGGATTTTAAATAGGTTCTTAGAGTCCAGTTAGAACAGACGACATTGAGGGCCACTGTAGTCCCAGTTCTCCAGATTTTTTTTTTTGAAAATGAAAAGCCCTTCAAAACAGATAACACAGTTCTAGTCTCTGAGAAGGCCAACTGCAGTATTTCTGTAAGTCCAGAGCCAGACTGCATTTTGCATCAGGAAGGCTTATTTCTTCCAACAGCCCTTATTAACATTCTTTTCCTCACAGTGCTTCTCAATGGCTGTAGCAGCTGAGCTGCTCAGTACAGATTTTCTGCTCCGCATGGGGGAGGGGGTGTTAATTATGCAGAAAGATGGAGAGAGGCCAGACAGCCCCTCTGGTGAACTGTCTCATTCAAGCACGGCCCACTTCCTGCTGTTTTGCAGCTACAAGGATCACCTGTTGGTCTTGGCATCTGGCCAAACTGGGGCCTGGCGGAAATGACAGACTCAGCTAAAAATGAAAGCCAGCTCATACTCCAGCACCCCAAATTGGGGAGAGGAAGAACATGCAATAGAAATTGCATAATTATACAAAAGGTAGTGAGATTTATATTGTTCTCTTCTTTGTTCCCCCGTCTGCTCAAAATATAATCATCAAAATATAGTTAGGAGCCAAAAATGGTCTCCCCCAGCTAAAGTCTTTTGACAAAAGAGAAAAGGAAGGTAATTTCCTTGAGTGTTTCCTATCTATCTACCAGAGAGCTACAGCCCTACTGCCTAAATAAAGTTTTAAGGAGCCATAGCCTTAAAAACTCAGTTCTTTAATATACTGTACATTCTTGAAATATTTACCTCTTTGATTACTCTGCAACCCTGCTATTTCTATTCATCATGATAATTCCACCAGGGAGAGTATGGTAGAAGTGTTCTTTTATTGATACTTCTTTTATTTTTTTTTAAAGGTTTATTTATTTATTTTTTAAAATTAATTTTTGCAAGGAAGAACTACGCTTAGGCCAGCGTGTGTGTGTGTGTTTGTGTGTGTGTGTGTGGCAAAATTCACCAGAGAGGGAGTGGGGGCAGAACAAGCGGATCCACTGAAATACACTGCTAAAGGGGGCAGCAGGCAAGACAGGAGTGGTCTGCTGTGCCATGTGGGTCAGCTCCCTTGTGAGGAATGAACTCAGGCCTTAGATGTCATATTGCTGAGACTTATTAATTCCTAAGCTCTCAGAGAGGCCCTTATTGATACTTCTTATTGTAGAATGTATCAATGCAGAAAATGAGCCTGCTTAAAAGCATATGTACAAAATTCTCTAGGTATTTTTATCTTTTCTAAAACTACATTGATTCATAAGTCAAATACTCTAAGTAGATAGTTCTATGGTGCTTTAATAGTCTTCAGAGAATTCTAATTGCATGTGCGTGAACAAATAATTGTAAGGTCTCTTAGAACAACTGAACAAGAAAGCTTTGCCTTCAACCATTCTTGAAATGAGTGGACTGATAACCTGGCATTTACATCATCTGAAAATTAGAACAAAAATATCTGCATTTCAGTTACTCTTCAAATTTTATTTTTTCAATTGGAACATGCAGCCTATTTGTTAGCTTTTACCTTTAAATCATGACAATTTTTGCCATCACCTACCTTCTTTCCACATATAGCACCCAGGCAGGTAGCAAAGTCAAAAACCCCAGTCAGAGAAACCACCACCTCATCTGCATGTCATACATTATTCATGACCTCCTGATTCCTGCACCTGCATCTAGGCAGGAAGCTTGCAGGGAATGTTCATTATTCTCTTAGCCTCACACAGGCTCCATTACTGCTAAGCTACTTTGTTCTGTAACTAAGGGTTTCAGGCCTTAGTATTAACCGCTGGATGTGGAAAAGAAAAAAAATCATCAAGCCAGAGAAAAGGACAATCTGAGATTGTTGTGTAACAAGTACTGAACCTCACAATATGCTCTTCTGAGACTGACAGCTTATGTCGGGTGGAAACACTCAAAGTTAGTGGTTTACATTATATAAAAAAAAGGCAGTATACCATTAAGTTCGTGTATACCAACTGTTCTATTTATATACACTTACTCATCTAAGGCAGACTGCATGTTTATAATTTTACCCAGTGCAGGTCCAATTTAGCTTTCTTGCTAAGCATGTGAGAACTTTTTAGATGTTTTAATGAAGAATGATTCTTCCTTCCTTTTTTTTTTTTTTTAAGATTTATTTATTTGTACATACAGAACTGGGGATACAGGACAGAGGCTCAGGGGTGGCGAGAGGCTTCACCAGTGACAGAGTGGGGAGCAGAACAGGCAGATCGGTGATACACTGCTGAGGGGAGCAGCGGGCGGGTCAGGAGAGGTCTGCTGCGCCATGTGGTCACCTCCAGGGCAGGCGGGAATCGAACTCATGTGGAAGTGGCTTTAGCTTCTCAGTGCAGTGCTCTAACCTGCTGAGCCAACAGGGAGGGCCTGATTCTTCCTTTCTTTGTGCATCTGCACCAAGGACCTGGCCCTCAAATTGTTGTGTTTTAATAATAAATACTGAGAGTTATTCAAGAGAATATGATTTCCTGGTTTCCAGAGTTAGTATGAACCTACCTGAAAGCCTGGTGGCCAGAGATGGCCTGTAAAACCCAAACACTCAAAACAATCACTAACAAAATTCTGGGGAAGGGAGTTGGTTCCAACTTTATAAACTATCCTTTTCACAGAAAAGCCATGACAATTGAAATCCAACCTCAGATCCCTAAATGGAGGTGGGATAAAGTGGTCAGAAGTGCAAACCAGGCTCTCCCTGATAGTGGATTGGAGCACTGCACTGCGAAGCTAAGCCACGCCCTGGCCACTTTAGTACGAGCTCAATCCCGCCCCTGAGGTAACCCACCTGGTGTGGCAGACCTCTCTGGTCTTACCTGCTGCTCCCCTCAGCAGTATACTTCATTGATATGCCTGTTCTGCTCCCCACTCTGTCTCTGGTGAATCCTCTCACTGCTCCTGTCCCTCTGGCTGGTACCCCATTTCTGTATATATATAAAAAAATCTTAAAAAAAAAAAAAGAAGTGCAAGCCATAAACCAGCCTGCTTGGGACTGAATTCCAACTCTACTGCTAACCAGCATGGTCATCCAGGCAAATGATTTCACCTCTCTGTGCTTTTTTTCTCATCTGTACAAGTGGAGACCAGTACAGTGGAGGCTTCTTACAAATGCAAGATTTAAATAAGAGTTGCAAAGTGTTTAGAACAGTGTTTGATGCCCTGAAAGCCATCAAAAAACATTAGCTCTTATCATTAACAGTGCTGATGGGAACGGAAAGGATGAGAAGATGGAACTGGCATATCCAGCTAATTCTAGAGGATTGAGATAACAGGTGTGTTCTAGAGGTTTTAATTACCATGCCATGATTTCACTAACAGCAAGAGAACAAAAGAGAACTGAACAAACAGAGAGTATCAGGAACTACATATTGTATTTTATAAGGTTTTCTGTCATTTCACTTTTCTGTTCCTTATTAAAAGATGAAT